TACAGGTATTTGAGTTCAACATGTGAGAAGTAGAAAGTACAGGTATTTGTGTTCAACATGTGAGAAGTAGAAAGTACAGGTATTTGAGTTCAACATGTGAGAAGTAGAAAGTACAGGTATTTGTGTTCAACATGTAAGAAGTAGAAAGTACAGGTATTTGAGTTCAACATGTGAGAAGTAGAAAGTACAGGTATTTGAGTTCAACATGTAAGAAGTAGAAAGTACAGGTATTTGAGTTCAACATGTGAGAAGTAGAAAGTACAGGTATTTGGGTTCAACATGTAAGAAGTAGAAAGTACAGGTATTTGAGTTCAACATGTGAGAAGTAGAAAGTACAGGTATTTGTGTTCAACATGTAAGAAGTAGAAAGTAAAAAGTCGTCAAGTAGTGGAGTAAAGTACTGATACCAGAACAATATACTTAAGTACAGTAACAAAGTATTTGTACTCCACTACTTCCCACCTCTGGCGATACCTGTAGATCAGAGGTGTTAGCCATTATCTATTTACTGTGAAGTACATTTCGAGACCCTCAGTGATGTTAGAGGTCTCGGTCAAAGCTATAGTTTCCTCTGAGCTGAGTATCTGTTTCAAATTTCAAACCCAAGTCCCACCAAGATAAAAAAACAGATACTTGAATTGGACCAGGGGAAGTATTTGTATCTGATAACTAAGTTTAAATACACAGCCCGTATTTTTGAAGTCATGAGGAGGCAGCGCGTGGACGGGGTGTTGCTACTGTAATTTGACATATTTCAGGATGTAGAGACAAGAAGCAGGAAGAGACGGTTCAGAAGGGCAGTAAATGGTGAGTGCCCTTAGCTTTCAGCGTTAAAGAGGAAATGTGTATGCTTGTATCTTGTGATTGCTTCGGTTGTTGTTGAAGTTACAGTGATGTTGTAATAATGAAAATGGAAACATGTTGTAGCAAGCCTGTTTCCGAGTAAAACAAATAATAGAGCAGTGTTGGTTTTGACTGGCTGAACACCATATTCAAAAAATAAATCATAGACCTATTGTTTTAATTTGGCTTTTAACTTGGGTTACATTTACCGGTTTCATTGTTCAAGTTTGATTGTATTGTGATCAAAGTCCGTTTTGTTTTTGTAACTTGTTTACACTTATTTTAATTTATTGTTGTGTTTATCTGATCCTTAAAACTAGGGCAGCACTAAATCGTTTGGAAAATGTATCAGGCCCCGCATGCTGCAGTTTTTACTTCATGCCAATAGAGGTCAATAATGTTCCTCTACTGGGACATCTCTCCATGCTTTAATGTTCACAAAGCTCTTTATTTGTCTCGTGTACCTCTTTTCACCCTCTGTCTGAAACCAGAGCCCAGTCTGCTCTGATTAGTTAGCTGGCCGGCTCTGTTGTGATTGGTCGACTGCTCAGAGATGTCCCGCCTTGTAAACAAAGGAGTCCAATGGAGGTGTTTCATTGCAGAGGGAACACAGGGATTTGAGCCTTTGCAGACCATTTACATGCACTAAAACCTATAACACTACAGGAACAAGAAAACCCCAAAAAGCCTAATAGGGCCTCTTTAAACATCCAGTATCCACCACTTGCTTCTGGCATTTGTTACGTTTCAGGAGGAACTCACTGTTGTATTATCAGTTTCTACAAGTATCCTGTGATCATTTGTTTTTACAGAGACATAAACTCTCTGTCACACACACACACACACACACACACACACACACACACACACACACACACCACACACACACACACACACACACACACACACACACACACACACACACGAGAGAGCTACCAATAATCCATTGTACTCTGGCCTGCTGTCAGTTTGCCACGATTGTAATTTCAGTTCCTACAAGGTGACGAGAGACGGACTGGAGATGGATGTTTGTGGGTTTCCAGGTGTAGTCACACTGAATTCTGTCTTGACATGCAGACTATGTCAAAACAAAACCCCACAACATTCTGAATGTAAGCACGCTGAGACGATGTCTTGTCTTGAAGAGACTTGGCAGATTCATTACAAAGCATGCATTTATGATGGCTTAATCACAACTGATGTCAATCTGCCATAGAAAACTACAAGCTATACACAGTCATTGGCACACATGAGACGCAAGTTGTGTACGTCTTACATCTTGAAGTCCTGAGGGAAGTTGACTATGGATGGATTACTGAAAATGTAACTCAAAAGGACCTCTGTATTGACTCAAAATGACAACATACAAACATTAAAGACTACACAAAGAATTACAGAGCAGTGGTGGAAGAAGTACTCAGATTATTTACCTAAGTACAAGTACGAATATTAGGGTCTTAAAACACTCCTCAATAAAAGTCCTGAATTGAAAATATTACTCAAGTAGAAGTACATTACATGTAACACCAGTTTAGCCCTGAGCCTGTTTTTCAGGTCTCAGGCTCGAAAATGACATTCCCAGAACAAATGACCATATCTTCCCTTCTAAAAGGGTTACATTAATAAACTTTGTTCTCAAAGTAATGATAAACCTGTGACTTGGATGTAGAAAAGTCAGAATCAATATATATGTTTTTTATTTGAAAGAAAATTCCGATTGAACATGGTAGAGATAGGTTGAGATAGTAGAGATAGGTTGTTGTGCTCCCTATCTCTGTTTCTTATCTATATCTAATATAACTGCTCGGGTCTTGATAGATTGAGTGGGGAAGTTCATGAGATCTTTCTAGAGGGTTATCAAGAATAACTTTTATCCAATGACCTTTTCCCTCTCTGTCTGTGTCTGTGTATTCTCTTGTTCCGATTAACCCAGCCAAATCTTTTTTCTTGTTTTGTATCTATATCTACACCGGGATCCGGAGTCGAGGCTGATCCTCTTGCTGTGGTCCTGTGTCCTGGATCCTCTATCCTGAGTTCTGGATTAAGTCGTGGACTTCGGGTCGTGGCTGAACCTGTCTCTGCGGTCCTGCCTTGGGTCTCGTCATGCTGCTTCCCTGATGGCTTCCACAGGATTGTAGCTGACATCCTCGTGGATTCATCTTCTTATTACAGACACATGCATTTCCTAACATTCGGTCTATATGCTGTAAAATGTATTATCTCTTCGATTTACACACGGCATCTATTGCACGTCTGTCCGTCCTGGGAGAGGGATCCCTCCTCTGTTGCTCTCCCTGAGGTTTCTCCCATGTCCCCTTTAAACTGTGGGTTTTCTCTGGAAGTGTTTCCTTGTACGATGTGAGGGTCTAAGGACAGAGGGTCTAAGGATAGAGGGTGTCGTTTTTCTCATACTGATATTCTGAACAATCTGTGCTGTTGTATTTGCTGTAAAGTGTCTTTACTGTAGGCTATTTTTATTTTATGTACAGCACTTTGGCTCGACCCAAAATCGTTTATAAATGTGCTATATAAATAAAACTTGATTTGATTTGATAGTAAAAAACTGTAAATTATAGTGTCCGTCCAAAAATTCTTATTTACTTATAGTGAAAACTACCCTTGGATGATGGTAAGGTAGACTAAAAGCTTTAAGAATCCAAAGTACAACATATAATAAGTACCCTGTATCAAGATTGATGCAAAACAAGTGACATTTTACCTTTTTAGAGAGGTTTAGCAAAAATAAACTCTACCTCTGAGGTGATTTGGGTGGAAATGGGGGTTTTACCGTTTCTCTGGAACCCATTGGTCAATTTTGGTGATTGACATCTCTTTCTGACCGTTAGAGCCAATAGAATCGAAGGGAAATCTCCCCACTCACACACAGTCTAAAACAAAAAGGTGTGGGCTTCGCGCACACAGTTTTGCACCAGAGTGAAGTTGTCTCTAGGTCTGATTTATATAAACGGAAACGCAGGTTTATTGCTTATGGATTATCAGAAATCATTCAAAGTGACACAGACACATTGGATTAACTTCAGCATCGTTTTAATGCCATTGAAGACCACTTTTGACCAGACTACGACACAGGTGAGCCATGTTGGTGTTTTTAGCTACCTAGCGCCACATGTTTTGACGTCTGTTCTTGTTATTATCTCCACGAGTTCGTATAATTGAGTGAAAATTAGGGTACCCTTCGATTCTGTGTCCCCTCACGATGTGAAACGATGGGCTGGATGTGCAACAAAGATAAATAATAAGGTTTTGTGAGTGAATTTCGGTGCAGTCATCTGTTAGCATTTTTCGCTCGTTGCTAATTCAGAGGCTCAGCGTTAGCATTGTGGGGGGTTTTTTGGAAAAAAAATTAAAACGATCAGTTAGATGAGTTTCTTTCCGTTACATGGATATAAAACATTCATAGTTTATTAAATGAACATGCCCTCAGACACTGTTTCCTGCTAGATGTTGCGGCAGTGCCCTGGTACCCGGGTCTCTCGGGCTTAACAGGTTAATACTATGAGCGATATGTACTTCAAGTAACAAAAGTAAAAGTATTCAGTATGCATAATGTGTACTAATACATGTAGGAGTATTGAACAATGTTGTTTTTCAATCTGGCACCAAGTTACGATTTGTTTTTATAAAATACTAGGTATATTTGCAGTACTGCATCTCATTATATATCATGTGTTTTTAGATGTAAAAAGTTACTGTGAGTGTTTAATATATTTGGTGGAGTAGAAAGTACAATATTTGCCTCCAAAATGTAGTGGAGTATAAGTAAATGTAGCATAAAATACACTTAAGTAAAGTACACGTTCGTCAAAATTAAGTGCAGTGCTTGAGTATATCTACTTAGTTACTTACACCACTGAGTACAAGTAGCTACATCTTTTTTTAAACTGGAGTAAATGTAGATAGATCGATAGACTGTGTGTACCTAATTACTTTCCACCACTGTGTAACTGAGTATTTTACAGTGTAGTAAATTAAATAATCTGAGTACTTCCTCCACCTCTGAGTCTAATAATAGACGCAGAAACTTTTGCAGTAATATCTGTTTACTGCATCACCACAGCCTGTAGTCTGGTAATATGTAAAGCTCCACCCCAAATGAGGTTGCAATCATCCCCCTCCTTCCCTCCCTTTCTCTTTCCCTCTCTGACTCTCTTTTCTCTCACATTTCACCATGCACTCTGGACCAGAACACCGGACCTGTTGGATCTGAAGGGATTACTACAGAACTTTATGAATACTCCAGTTCTGCACGGATGATGCGTTTTGCGCTTCAGCTACTCAATGAAAGAAGAGACGCGCAACAGAAGAGATGGGCACCGTTCCTGGACTTTCTCCTCCCCGCTCCTGGGGAAAAAGTGGTCACAGCGCAGTGTTGCTTTTACCTGTAGTGGCGATTCTTCTGCAGCTTTGCGCCGCTTTTAACTTGGACACGGAGAAACGCGTCGTTTTCACCGGACCACCGGGGAGCTACTTCGGATATTCAGTGGAGTTCTTGAGCAACTCATCCAGGTAAAGTCTCAATGCATGCCTTTAACACTAACTCACACTTTGACTATGCATTTGTCTTTCTAATGGCATCCTTTTGATATACTAACACATGCATTGGGTGGGAGTACATTTCCTCAAATGTATACTTGACTGTTTCCATTTAACGCTATACATACTTTTACTCCACTACATTCATCATCACAACACTCATAGTTATGAGCTACTTTGTGCATTTGAAAACACATGATGTGATGCAATACATACATTTTTAATATCCAGATTCTCTTAAAAAGCATCTAAAAGTGGCTCTACATTGACAAACAACAACATTAATATTAATTGACATGTATTTGCTTGAATAATATTTTTAGACAACACCCAAAAAAGAGCCTTCTGCATACTGAGTACTTTACTTTTGATATAGTATATTTGACTGATAATACTTTTTGTATTTCTACTTATGTAATAGTAATAATTCAGGATTTTTTTTAACCTGTACTGGAGTATTTTAGGACCATAGTAAATCTAGTTTTACTCAAGCAAAGGACCTGAGTACTTGTCCCCCCACTGACTACATATTACATTTCTGTTCTGCACACATACTTCATTTATTTTTTATTTTGCAGCCTAGAATATCAACATTGATTGTAGACTTTGCAAATCTTCCAGTGTTCCTATAAAATGTTGTGGTTTTTAAGCATTAGGGTTATCTTAAGGTGATCTTGTTCCTATATTATATTTTAATGACTTTAATTGGTTGGCACAGCAGCCTACATTTTTTATCACTATATTTAGACTAATTTCAAAACGTATAATATAACTTATTCCTGTTAAATACATCCATAGTGACATAATGATGGATCTTGTCAGGGCACAAAGGTAAATGTCATTCAATATCTGCACGTCTCACTTTAATTCAATGGCTTCCTTGGTGCAAAAAGGTTTTTGGTTAAAGCATTAAAGTAGAATTAACATTTACATAATACAAAAATACTGTAATATTAGAAATATGTCACAAAATACAATACTCTCTCTCTCTCAGACAGACAGACACACAGACACACACACACCCCCCCCCCCCCCACACACACACACAGGATTCCAGCCCGAGTGTGATTGGAAACAGACATGTGAGTGTGTGTTTGATTCAGAGGAGAGGGGGGGGGGGGGGGGGTTCACCTACAGCAAAGTAAGAAATATGCTAATCTGTTTCTTCTAAATAGAAACTGAAGGGACGAGGGGGGGGGGTTCCCACTGGTTCTTCTGTTGACAGAGGAGGAACTGCTGAGTGAGATAAAGATCAACGATGTTCTTCTTTCTTCACACACACAGCAAATACCGTCACCTGTTTTGGCTCATTGAGAAAACCCTCCTGTGGGCGATAATGGAACACACACATGGTCATAATCCAACTTGGATATGAATGAAGGCCAGTGGATTTATGGTTGTCCATTTCTCCAGCTGCACATACATTTTGTGCCTCTCGTTATCCTTCATTACATTCGAGTCACGGAGCTTTTACCAAAGATTGTATTGCCAGAAATCTACCAGTTATATTAGTAGCCTATATTTTGCAATTACATTCTAATATTTGACATTTTAAATGTTACTGTTGTTGTGCTTAAGGCTCGGTTCACTCCTCTTCCCCCAGAAATATTATAGCAACATATGTCTCTAGTTACCTGTAGGGCTATTTATCCATCCAGATTGTCTTGGTGTGACTTTCTCAGTGTTGAAGATATTGGCCAGAGATATCTCTCTAAGGCAGGGGTGTCAAACTCAATTTCATCTCGGCCACTCAAAGGGCCGGTTGTAACTTTAAGACTATATACAAATACATATACAAATATTTAATATACATAAAATATTGTATTATATTACATTATTGCCTCTGCATTGGATTATTATCGGATAGGGTAATAACTTCATAATTAACTACATCTGAAAGCAGAAGTCTGGGGCAAATCATTGCAAGTCTCTTCAGTAAGAATGTCACAAAATGATTTAAAAAGAAAAGCCAAATTCAAAAAAAAAGAGGAAAAAACATGACATTTGCAGAAAAAAAATATAATTCTGAGAAAAAGGCAAATTCTAAGAAAAAATGCATATTTTGAAGAAAAAAAGTCAGATTCTGAGAAAAAAAAGTCAACTTTGAGATGCATTGTGGGACATGTAGTTTATGGGCAACGTGCTTCTGTAAAGTAGCATGTAACCGTATAATAAACACATTATATTCTTTGCAAGCTCTTATGGGGCCACATAAAATGAAGTCGCGGGCCGGATTTGGCCCCCGGGCCTTGAGTTTGACACCCCTGCTCTAAGGGAACTGTATGGCATTCTTGTTGTTGTTGTTGTTGTTGTTGTTGTTGTTGTTGTTGTTGTTGTTGTTGTTGTCAAAATACATGTAAAAACTGAATAGCATCTCTTTCAGGACATCATGACCCGATTACTTCAGATAATAAACATACTTTGTTGTGAGCTGTTCCATGTGGGAACTATTTTCCTTTCTACCAAACTACAACCACCAACTGTATCACATCATATCTACTCATTGTCAACAGGCTTGTGCTTGTGAGAGCCCAACATGTAAACAGCTTTTGACGTTAGCTAGCTCATCGATGCTAGGTTAGCTTCCTTCTGCGTGGTGATAGGGTTGGCAGCAGGTATAGTTTGGGAGAAGGACAATAGTTTCTACACGAAACATCTCACTGACTGTGAATTAGGCTTATTTTGAGGAGACTAACTGGTCATTATTTTTGTTCCATTATGTTTGAGAATTCTCTACGGCCTATATCTCTAACTGTCATTATCGTACCCCAAAACAATCAAGATTGTAATGATGTTTGGGTTCAGGTTAGCTTCCTAGAAAATATGGCTAGCTCTGGTGGCGGGTCAAAAAGTCACAATGACGCTTTTACAATAAGTTATCTATAACTTACACGACATTGCATGCACATGTCCTCCTTCTGACCCCAGACCCGGATACTAGATTGATCAAAAGCACTACAGGTAGGAGGACAGATAGGCTATGTATTTGTATGTGTGGGGTAAACTGTCCCGTAATGGTCTCCAATCTGAATTGAGGCTTAGGGAAAACTTTGCAGTTAAAGCCAGGGTATACTTGGAGTCTGAAATGAATTCACTGCTTACGAATTTGAAATAATATGCAACACAACGCACCCTTGTTTGTTCAGGTATTACTGCTACAGCCTTTGTCTAATAAGAAGCTTTTGGTGGCAAATGCTAGCAAACTTTGGGTGGATATCTTGATATGAGACTGTTATCTGATTCTACTGGTCTTATCTATTTGTTCTACTGTTACGCTAAAACTATTTAGCTATTTGCTATCATACAATAATGGTCACTTGTTGCCACAGTGGCAGGTACTCAGCAACAACGATAGTCTCACTTTAAGCTTAACAAACTGTTAGCTAACAACCACCAGTATGTCTACCTGTACCTGAACACCTGTAAAGTGCGTATAATTAAGAATATTGGTACTTTACCTATTTAACTGTACTGCATCTTCAACTCCTAACTAACTCTGTCAAGTTTAGAGTTTATAAAAGAGTTTTGCTGAAGCTAAAAGTTGCCATCAGTGTAATTCAGTTCAACGCGATCATTTAAAACGTGATACTTGGAGTAGCATTATCTTCCATGGTATTGACAAGAAATCTTTTATTTCCACACCACTAAAAGACATTGAGGATGAACTGACCATACACTACAGTAGATTTACAGCCACCAAGCTAACAAGATGATTTCAACATAGCATTATATCACTTTTGGAGACGTTGAAACACATTTGGCTTGTCCAGCTGAACCGCCCTCAGCCAGCTGTTCACAGCAGCTGCTGCTGCTGAGCCAGAAAGGATGTGTTACATCACCTGGAAGCTGTTCTTCGGATGACGACAGAAATGTAGTGCATATCAGCTGTTAATCTGCTTTATGATAACCTCCTGGAGAGCAGCTTGTAGTGGAAAATGTTTAGTAGCTGCTCCTGTGAAAGGTGTTGGGAGATCTAAGCCATACACATTTCATTTACTCCTTATCAGCTCCGTGTCAGTATTACTTCTACTCCGCTCAACTCAAAATATTAAAGTCTTTACTCCACTCGTTTTTTTAGATATATTTATTGAATTTTCACAATCAAGAAAGAGCATGGTACCAACATGTACCCCCTTTTTTTCATTTATATAAATAAATAAAGTAGGTCAAAGAAAAATAATAATCGCCTTACTTTTTAACAACGTCAGTTACAATGAATTTGTCTGTTGGTTGAAATACTTTATGTACAGACTTTCATTTCTACCTAGGGGATAGTTGTAAACAACACCCAGCTGTAACAATAAAGTAATGAACACATGACTGCATTATTACTGCAATCAACTAACATACACTATTCAGAAATGACAGACCGTTATTCATAATGTGTATTTTTACATTTGGTACTTAAAGTATATTTTGATGCAATTAGTTTTGAGTTAACTTTACTAATGGCGCGTTTCCACTGCAGGCCTCGCTCGGTTTGGTTAGGCCTTGTTAGGCCCGGCTCACTTTAATGCTGCGTTTCCATTACAGTTTAGGAACTGGGGCAGTAACTATAGTAACGCAGTGTAGGCGGAGCCGTGACGTCATCTTCAATGAGAGCCCCAGAAAAACAACACAGCCGTTAGCTGTTAGCCCTCAGAGCTCACAGCTCTTCATATCTGTTCAGAAACTAGACAAAAGTTAAACAAGTACAAACCACAGACTGTCTGTGTCATGGCAAATACAGTCGCTGGTTTATTTATGTCTGTATAGGCCGTTGTTGTGAGTGTGGACGGTCGGAGCATATATAACGTTAGCTTAGCCAAGCTACATTTAGAAAACACGCATTTTAAAAGGGTTTCTCACCTGCCGTCTGTCTGCAGACTTGTCAAAGCATTAATTCATAGTTTTTACTAACCGGTATCAGTATGTTGTTACTTCGGCATCATTTTGAAACGTGTATTACAATTAAATCACGGTCAAATATGTTC